CAATTTTCATGGAATTGTCGTTAGATGATCAGGTAAATTTGCAAAATTAAATAACATTTTGGCTAATTTTATTAGGAATATCTTTGTGGCATATGCACGTAATAGTTATAAGAATATACAAATCTACAAAATATATGTGATATTTTTAGGTTATATCAAAATTAATGTACATTAATGCCTATTTCCACCAACGTAGATTAACTTTAACTTCGGTTCAACATACTCTTTGTCTTTTTCTAATTTTTAGAATTATATAAAAAAGGGCATAAAAGTGTTAAAAGTACAGTAACGTACAAAATTCGGTAATTGCCTAGAATTGTGTCCTGCTCACCGATTTTGAAATTAGGCTTTTTCGATGCATTTTTGCATGAAACGAAAGAATCTGGCAAAGAAAAGTGTCGCTCTGCCCCGCAAATCGAGATATTAAGCGTTAAAATTCACGATTATTCAGGTTAGGAAATCTGTCACATTGATGGCATAGAGGAACATGAAAACATGTAAGCATATGAGGCTAGAATAAGTATTTTCTGTTTCAAAAAATTATACAAATTCTCTGCTTTAAAAATAAAGTTTTTAAGTATTGTAAAACCAAAAATGGTATAGAAAATAATTTGTGTTTTTAAAGCAGAAAATTTGTTTCTAAAGCAAAAAATTTTGTTTGTAAAATCCTCTATACCATTGATGTGACAATTTCCTAAATCTGAATATCTATCAACTTTAAGAATTAATATCTCGATTTGTTGGGCAGAATTGAAAGATTTTTTGCTAAATTTATTTATTTCATGCAAAAACGCAATAAGTCTAATTTTATTGCTTTTTGAAGTGTTATATGTAGCTAAACTATATAATTACCTTTTTAATATTATTATTCTTATTATTACTATTATTTTAGGCGCAAGAACTAAGAGTATATTTTAAAAGTCTTGGTGCAGAAATCAGCGAAGAGAAGTCTCCTAAAGGTATAGAAGATGATTTGCATAAGATTATTGGAGTATGTGAGGCATGTTTCAAAGAAGGAAATGAAAGCGAAATAGAAACTGTATTGAACGACATTGTATCTATCATGATTCTGGCAAGTTTAACATTTTGATAATTTTTTATTATAGATAATTAAATATTAATTTTTTTTTATTTTTACTGATATTCTATTTTAGATACCTACGGAACGCGCTGAAAATTTAATTTTAGCATTCTGTGAGAAACTCGTAAAAGCTCCTGGATATAAGCTTGGATTGGTTTGCTTAAAAGCGTAATAATACATTGTTAATTTTTATAAAATTCATATATGTAAACATTGTTTAATATAACAAATCATATTTAAATTAATTAAGAGAAATAATAGTATTTTGGTCACAAAGCAGATTTTAGTGTTTACATAATACTAATACACAAACTTTTGCAAGTTCACATTTTCTCCAATGATATACGTTTGCAGTTTGTGGCTCTTATTCCAATCTCTTGCTGATGATTCTCCAATGAGATACCATGTTTATTACCACTTGGTACAAATAGCCCGCAATGTTGATCAAGTAAAAGCTGTGTATAGTGGAATAGATCAATTAAAGCAACAATTTGCCTCCTTTCCTCCATCGAATGAACAAATGCAAAAGTTATTGCGTTTGTTACATGAAGTTCTTTTAAGTTGCAAACAAGGGTAATATCTTTTCTTCATTTATTTTTCCTTTCCCTCTCTTTCTAACACACATTTTCTATACAATGTAGAAATAATTTCAAACATAAAATATATTTTACAAGGTATTTGTATAATCCTTTTTAGAGAACAAGCAGCAGCTGTTATGGTGGAATTGTTGGGAACTTATACAGCAGAGAATGCTTCCGCGGCTAGGGAAGATGCACAGCGTTGTATATTAGCTGCGTTAGCAGATCCAAATACATTTTTGTTAGATCCACTTTTGGCATTGAAGCCTGTGAGATTTTTAGAAGGCGAATTAATACATGATTTACTTCTTGTATTTGTACAAGATAAATTACCAGCGTATTTACATTTCTATCAACATCATAGAGAATTTGTAGAGCATCAACTTGGTATATATCTAGATATATACCATAATGTAGATAATGTAAAATTTTATTGAATTTATTTCAATAAAATAAAATTTATAATGTATTTTTTTTCTTATAGGATTAAATCATGAACAAAACATGAAAAAGATGAGGCTATTGACCTTTATGCAACTTGCAGAGACAAATCCAGAAATGTCTTTTGATACAATACAAGAGGAATTGCAGATTGACGAATCTGAAGTAGAAAGCTTCATAATTGATGGTAAGCCATTTTTATTTAAAAAATTTTTACAATAAATAACATTTGACATCCTGTTTAAATAACATAGTTTTGCACTATTGCTTATTTAAGTGGAAACTTTTTGACAGGATATATTAACTGAATCTGTACTGACTCAGTAAAATTATATTTTCACTGAGTTATCGAAGCATTCAACAAAGTTAGGAAATAAACTTTTAAAAAAAATGCGAAATGTTATGATCATGTAATAATATTCTCACGAGATGTAAATAATATTGTTCCAGTTTTAAAAACCAAGCTTGTAAGGGCGCGCATGGATCAGGCTGGCCGTAAAGTATTAATTTCAAGCACAATGCATAGAACGTTTGGTCGTCCACAATGGATGCAACTGCGAGATTTACTTGTATCATGGAAAGCTAATCTTTCGGCCGTACAGGATGGCATGAAAACTGTAGCTGTTGCTCAAATGGAGCTTGCAGCAAAGAATAAAGCTACTCTTGCTCACTGACAATATCGAAAAATTCCATAAATATACATCATTATGAGAATACAAGATTACAAATTAATTTTTTTTTCCAGAGAATAACAGAGGTTCGTTGAATCTAACTATAAAAGCAATGCAGTTAAAAATTAATAATTATATTACAATATCATATTTATATAACACAAAATTGTTAAATAGAAAATTTTTATATAATTTTAAACATACATTTACATATTTAATATAGCTACATTCGCGTTAATCATCTCGTTTTTTTAAAGTCAAATTATTTTCATAAAATAATTTAAATTTGTCATAATATATAAAATATATTGAAAATTAATTCGAGACGATTAATTTTGCCATTTTCGCGCATTTGTGTCATATTATGTATTTAAATTAGGTATGCACACTATATGTGTGTTAGGCATATAAATATAAGAGGTCTGTTCCAAAAATATCCAACCTCTAACTATATAATGAAAAAGAGCTATTTTAGATATGGATAATATCGCCTTCAAAGTAGTCTCTTTTTGAAGTAATCCTTTCAGCACTTCCAAAAGCAGTCCTAGAAGTCAGTTTTTGTATGTGATAGCCAACAGATCCTCACTGTGTCACGCAATCGTTTCAGAACTTCCAAGTAATAATATTCTTTGTTTATTGTACGATCTTATGGAGCATCTGTGATGTAACTTCCTGGTCGAAGAAAACAGTGAACATTGCCTTCACATTGCTCCAACTCTAGCACGCTTTCTTGGATCAAGACTCTTCTCGTTATCCATTGTTACTCATAAAGTCATTGCTATAAACTTTATGGATCATGCAGATTATCTCGAAACAAATTTGTGTGGCCAAATTTTTGATAAAATTTAATGCAAATTCTCTACTCAATTCGCTAGATCATTGTAAAATGCGATCCTCTGAGTTTTCGAAGCTCACAACTGCGTACCGTTGCTACTTGATTTAACTATTGGATTATACTTGGTAGATACAACACTCCTCAAGGTACTCTCCCCTGAATACCAAATGTTTGTTTTCCACAGAGGAAAGAGGATGTCCAAAGACAAAGATATACGTAAAAGGTCGGATACTTTTAGAATAGTCTTTATGCATACGTGTCTTGAAACACACACACATGCATCAAATTAACATAATATATATTTCACAATAAGTGTAAAAATTAATAGTATACTATACAGCAAACTGGATGAAAAATACATTCTTAAGTCTATAAAATAATATTTTTACAGGTGTCTCATGATTATTCTACTTGAATTAATAATGTTTGAACGTGATAAAATGAACTTCATTTTTTTAGAAGCAAAATATAATCATATTACATGAAAAATTTTATTTTTTTCTTAAATAGTTCTAACCATTTAATTATGCAATCGATATATGTTAAAAATATTAATTGCAGATAAATATCAGTTATTTGATAACAAAATACGCGGCAATATAAGAAGCATTTGATCTGTTTTAGATCTTAATTTCTATGTAAAAAATTATGATTTATAATTAACTTTTCTTATTACATTGACATTTTTGCGCTGTTTTTTTATCACATTAATTTTATATAATCTTAAAGCATTTTTATATTTAAACATACTTGACATTATTTCTGTATTTTTCAGTAGTATTTTAATTTTCAATAAAATGGGACAAAAAAATTAATATTGTAAAACATTCGTACGTACACATGTGTGACATGCCTATGCCACACATTGACTGCGTTCAGCAGAAAAAGCAGCTTTGCAACTGTTGTAAAATTCTTTAATATTGGTCTTGCCCTTAGTTCCTCACTAGATCTAAATATATAAAGATTACATCAATGTTATTTTGATTTTAGGCGAGGCTTAAAACTCTGTCTCTATCTCTTTTTCAGTTTTAAAACGAGACGAATAGAGTTTTAAATTTCGCTTAAAGTCAAAGCAACGTTGATGCAATCGGGCCTAAATCAATCATATTCAAGAATTTTACAACAGTTGTAAAGCTGCTTTTTCTGCTGAATGCAGCTATTGTACAAATATTAATAATGCCAAAAAGCACACAATGTAGTTATTTACTACTATTACTATATTGCTATATATTAAATTAATCTTTTTAAAAAATTCAATTTGTTATTTGTACAACAACTTATTTACAACATATACGTAAATAAAATAATGCTGGAATAAATTATAAAGTTACAAATTGTATGTACTATACAATTGTATAACTTCAAATTTTACGTATTTAAATCAAATATAAATATTTAATGTACATTCTTTTTTTATTGATCTTTAAATCTTATCTACTGTATGCTCTTTCTGTCCTGTTTCTTACCTTTTATCCTTTTTACGACCGTTTCATCAATAATTGTATTTCTTGTCAGATATTTCTTATCTATTTTTATCTCTCTTCTCTCCCTTCCCTCCCCCTCCCTTTTCCTCGATCTTGAAGTCATAAATTCTTATCGCGGGCAACCAGAAAATGAAGAAACAAGCTAACAAAAAAGCGAGAAGTAAAAAGTGGTAAAATGTACAATAAGAAACAGAAAGCAAAGAGCACATTTTAGATTTAACTTTAGAAGGCGAAGCGAAGATCTACTTTTAAATCTTATAACTTTTCCTTAAGTAAGATTTATTATAATTCATTGTACACTCCTTGCCTCAAAATATGACACTTTCAACATCACTATAGTGATTTCTCATCCTGTAAAAATGAAACAATCATTTTCACAACATCTCTGTAAGCACCGCATTCAGTTTAGCATATAAAGTTTTATCTTTTTTAAATATGTTTTACATTAGCTAGTAAATCTAGAATATCTAAAACTTGAGTTAAGAGGCATCTTTTCTATAAAATATGCACGTTTTCTGTACTTCTGTGTAAAACCGGCCATATTTATTCCAAGTATACATAAATCTCTTGTAACTTTTGTATAAAAGACAAATGACGGATGATTGAGACCATGAGATATATTTTTTTGTATCAAAAAATTAAGAAACCATGACTGAATTTCTCTTATCATACTTGATAAATCAGATCTGAGTAGAAAATCTGGGACGTGGTAAATCTCCAAATACTGTATCAGTATTTACGCTTTTAGCTAAGGCTTTCATTGAAGCTCGAATATTGCGTGGATCAGTTGGCAACTGTAATTATAATTATATATAGATTTTTTTTTTAGAAAGAGTAAACTTCAATCAAATATAAGCATGAAAAGACTCAGAAGTGTAATATAATGCAAAAATTAAAAATCATATAAAATTTTACCTGATCGTCGTCTTGATCCTGTATTGTATGATGAATGATAGAAGGGAAAACAGGCACGATGACAGGTAATGATTTAGCTAACGTAGAATGACCATCTCGTTGACTTCTTGGCATATGAATCTCCTCGTTTTGGCTTGAATCTAAATATAATATGTTAATTATTATAAACTTGGATTTGTACAAAACACAAAGATATTAATGATAAATTAATATGTTATACCATCGGTATCAGATCCATCAGTGTCTTCCGAAGAGGATAGAAGCTGTTGGCTGGCTGAGTCTGTATCCTCCATTCCTTCAAAAGGAAACAATACTTCTGTATCGAAGCTAGCTGATTCCTTGGTATTAATATATACTGTATTCTTTTTTCTCGAATTTTCATTCTGCAAAGTTTATTATCCAGATTTAATAATAATTATTAAAATTATAATTACAAGATTTTTGATCTGTACATCAAGTAATAATTGAAAAAACTTTGATAAATGACTTACATTAATGCTACTTTTAGAGGAGTGTCTGGTAGTTGTTTCGTGTTTAACGTTTGGGCTACTAGATACTTTTGTATCACTGAATATTATATTAGACTTTGGATTCACTGTACTAGCTGCAGAGGTAGTCATGATACTTTTAAAACCATCAGGAGTTGTTGGCGGAGTTTCTATATTATTAGTTACTCTACTTGTCTCGTCACCTCTACATACTAGTCTAATTATTAAAAAAAACAAGTTATGATTATTATTATTATATAATATAATAATATACACATACTTGTAAAATTACTTTGATAACAGCCTATGTTCATTGTGTGCTCTTTCGCGAAATTGTTCCAACAGCTGATGCTGCTCAGCAGTAAACGCACGTATTTTATCTTCTATAGCTATTGTTTGACGTTGTACAGCCTCCTGTAACTGTTGATGTAATCCATCTAGGGCCACTTGTATCGCGTTAGGTAATTGTGAAACTAGATAAATAAAATGTAACATATAACGCTAAATATTGGGTCATCTAAAAAGTATCCGCGGTTTTTTGTCACTAGATG